AGCCTATCAAGATGAAGTAAAGGCTTTAACTCTGAATTCAATCTTTGGAGCCATTTTAGCTTCCAATTTTTATGGGCAATGATCCCTACTCCCTGGTCAGTTAAATAAAGCTGTAAGACACTGTGAAAAGTAAAGGCTGATGATCATGGTCCCTGGTCACAGCTAAGAAGGGTAGGAGAACATATTTTTCCAGGTGGTAGAAGAGCTAGTCTGAGGGGCTGTGCAGTTGATATGAAGATTCTCAAAGGAAAAACATTTGTTAGCAAAGGAGCAAAGATGGGGATGAAATATCAAACGGATTCTCTTGAATGCTAACTCAGAACTCATTATTTTAGTTCTGCTTCTGGCACCCAAATCTGTAAGTAGATGGAGGAGAAAAAAAAAAAACACCTCAGAATCAAAGAAGGAATAACCCTCTATTTTCTCACTTTGGCCTCCAAGTGCCCTTGGCTCTCTTGCTATATTTTCTATTCCTCCTTCCTGAAAGAGAATTTCTTTCCATACTGCACACACACACAGTCTTTCAGATGGATACTTACCACATTTCCCATGGCCGAACTCTACAAGGGAGGTTTTGTCCTGAAAGAATTTTGGTATGATAGTTATTGCGAGACTAATTTAAATTCTGGTGAAAAGGGCTAGTTACTACAAATAGTAAAATAACCTATTAGGAGAATCCTATTCTCATTTAAAATGGAAACATATCTCATGACAAAAGAATCTGCATAATACCTTGGAAATTAAAAATATATTCATTCCTAAGAATTCTAATTTCTCATGCTTATTTTATTTAACTGCCTGATCACATCACAGTTCAGAGTAGAAATAGAGCATTTAGATGAGTTCTCTTCTGTCACATAATTTTACAGATGTATCAGATTTTGACTCTAATGTGTGTTCAAGGGCTCTTAAACTTGTTGGGTCTGTATATTTACAGGCAAATGTGGTTGCTTAAAAATAGGGGGTATCATCTAATGTTATATAATTATGATTTGTAGCTGTACTACACAATCTAAAAAATTGTTTTACAAAGTCCATTTTATCTTATATTTAGCATCCTCTTCTGTGACTGTGATCAGTATCACATCCTCAAAGTAATTCACTTTTTAGCATCCCAGCAAGGCCTAAAAACCAATCCGAGAACTAGTTCTCTTCCAGTATCCTCAAAACACCAGTTTGAAGTTTTTTCCTCCAATATACATAACATCTATAAAAACTACTGAGTGTTAAGGGAAGCAATGTCTAGCAAATTTCACCCCTCAACTAAAAGAAAATCAGTTGCTCAATGTGAGGCCCTATACTGAGTAATGACTGAGAACGAGTTCTCCATTGGAGTTTATAATCTCTTCCAACTCTAATACATGGTTTTGTTAAACAGTTGTTTAAAGAACACACGGTTACCTATATTTTCAGTTTTGTGACAGAAATCCTTCCAAGAACAAGTTCTGCACATTCTGCCCTAGTTAATAAACATTGAGTAAACCTGAGGCCGAGCCTCTCAACCGCAGCCTCTTTCATCTGTAACCTGTGTTGACCTTACCTCAGACTTCCAAGCCCTCTGTTTTCTTTACTCTGAAACTGCCACCACCTCTTAAAAACTTAAAAGAGTCTGTTAACCAATTCCAATTATTTAGACACTTTGGCTATTTACAATGCCTGTGATACAAAGCATGCTTACTTATTAGTAAGCATTAGTAAGCATTAGTAATTTTCTGTGTCAGCAAACTGGTGAGGGAATGGAGGGCTGTAGGTGGGAGAAGGCTTTGAAAAGCCATTTTTAGTCAGAATGTGAAGATGAGGGCCTAATCCAGTGATGGGACCTCCTGAATTCCTGGGAAGGTGTATCAGCCTGCAGCTCTTAGTTCTGAAGGATTTTGAGTGTGGAAAAAAATCTTTCTCTTACTATGAGACTTGCCATCCCTCAGCACAGGCCAGGCCAATCTGCAAGGAGGTATCCTTCTCTCTTCAGATTTTCCTCCTGAACCCAGCTTCTTTCTTACCTCTCTGTCCACAGGAGGGGAGTGTGTGTGTGTTCTGGATGATTGAAATTTGATTTATATTTATTAGCTCTTTTAAAATTAGAACTTCCCTACCCTATCTGATATCATTTCAGGTAAATAGGTCACTAGGATATATTAGCAATAAATGATATAAAATAAAAGTCTTTTGCCTATAAATATATCTAAAATGAAATAATGTAATAATAAAATGATAAGATTACTGATTACTGTTACTTCACTTAAGTCATTGAATGCCTTATTTATACCTCTCAGAGATAAAAGTGTTTGAATTTCCCAGGTATTTTTAATAGGCTGGTCATCCATTTGAAATCAGTAACCAAAATTTAATCATCAATATTTTCATGGTGGCATTCTTTTGCAAGTCAAAATATGCAATCGTTTTCAACCAGCAATTTCAGTAGAAATTTATAGAGCACCTACTAAGTGTCAGGCACTCACGGATGACCAAGCAAGAAGCCAGATCCAGAGGAAGAAAAGCAGCCATGGCCATTTCACAGCAGTCAGGCCCACCCTGGAGAAATCCAGCACACTCCTCTAATAATTTAATGTAATTTATTCTGGAGTAAAATTATGGGTCATTTTGAGTTAAGATATTGAAAAAATAGATAAGCATAACCTTAGACATATTTTGCAAATTAAACTGTGCACATCAAAAGAGTGTACTCTCAGTACTTTTTCTCACTTCCAATTCTTCACTCTACAATGGAATTTACAGTTTTCTTAATGGATACCCTCTATTCAAAAAGAACAGATAAAGTCTTATTGTCTATTAAGTGCACTGTAATTGTTTTTACTTTTATGCTTTTCTGTGCTAGACCCTTCACCACCACATGAAAGCAATGATCATCTACCTGGTTCACCATTGAACCTCCAACTCCTAAAACACAGTACCTCCTGTCCAGAAGTGCTCAGTAGTTACTGAATGAAATAGCTTTTTTGGAAACTTCCCTTACCTCCTGATCCGAAGCCTTCTTTAGGTTCAGTTCAAGCCCTATAGCCTCTAAAACACCTCCCTTATGAAGACATTCTGTTTAGTATGGTATATTACCAAAGCAGTACCTTGGCAACTAATTTGCATGCTTTTCAGAAACTTTTGCCTTAAACGTATTTTTATTGTGTACTCTCACCCCTTAATATGTGTTCTTCTCACTCCTGTTTTTAAGCCTTCATCCCCAAACACATATAACACATTAAAATGTGCATGTAAGTGTTCAATTAACTCCTGTAGAATAGATGAGCAGTTAATCATTCATTTAAGAAATATTTTTGGAGTTCTGGCTTAGTTCTTGGCATATTCTAGAAATGACCAGTATAATATTGAATAGACAAACATTCCTGTGCTCTTGGAGCTTACTATCTACTAGCAAGAGGCAATCAAGCAAACAAATAAATTAATAAATGAGAAATACAGGAATATCAGGTACTGATCAGTACCATGACAAAAATAGATAATGTGCAAGGGTGTGACTAGAGGAAACATTAAAAATACAAATAAACATTCGAAAGTTGCCTCTTTGAGGAGTTAACGATAGATCTCAGACCTGAATGGACAGGTAGGGACCTGTTATGGAGAGATCTGAAAGAAGAGTCTTCGAAGTGGTAATGGGCAGGAATGAGCTGGATATGTTGACTTGAGGGCACTGATGAAGAGGACTTCCATTTAGAACATCAGGAGTTTAAGATGGTGCTGAACGGAGGTACAGCCAAGTGAAGATGTCCTGGAAGCAGTATGGGTTGTAGTCCTGGTGATATTGTGGAGAGAAGGTAATAGGGGCAAATATGAAAGTTTGCATATGGTCCTTGTACAACATGACTAGAGGAGATTAGTACCTACTGGAACAGTGTAGCCATAGAAAAGAAACCCAGGACTGAGTCATGGATTTGTCAACATTTAAAAGTAAAGCCAAAGATTTTACTAAGGAGACCAGGGAGCAAGTTAGGAAGAAAGCCAGCTTTTTTTTTTTTAAATCAAGAATGCACTTCAAGAATGAGGGAATGGTCAGTTGTGTTGACTGCTGTTGAGAGGTCAAGTAAAATGCGAATGTAAAACTGAATTAGCAATATGAAAGTCATTGTGACCTTCACAAGAGCATTCGTAGTGTCATCATGGATGTAGATAATCACCTTTTAGGAATGCATTGAGAAGAAATGAGAAACAATGGAGACAGCTAAAGTTAACCATTTCAGGAAGTTTTATTGGGAAAGGGAATGGAGAAGTTGAAGCTTGAAGATAATTAGTGGTTAAAAGAGGAACTTTTTGTTTGTTTTTAAAAGAGTTAGTAGAAAATGCTTGTAAGTAATGGGAATAACTAAGTATAGAGAGAGAAATCGATGAGATAGCAAAGGGAGATTAAAATGCAGAAGTAAATTTCTTAAAAAGTTAAAAGGGGTTGGCTTTCAAAGCACAAGTGAGATGATTAGTTTTTGTAGGAATGGGGAGGGACTATAAATATGAGACTATTTCACAATGCAGAAATATTTCTCCATTAAAATGTTGATAAACTAAAGCAGGCCAGGTGGAGCCACATGAATTTGCCAATTTTTGCCACTTTTGATCTGCAAAAATACTCAAATGGGTATTTTCAGTGACCCAAACTTATAATAACATGCATAAATAAAATAGTTTCAAATGCACAAATTGAAGTAGATGATGAGCTCATGTAGATGTTTTCAGTTTTTTCTCTCTTTTTTTTTAATTTTGTGAAGTGTTTTCACATAAAACAAATGTGAACAGAACATGAAAAGACAGAATCAGATCCATATAGCTATTCTGGTTTTATCTGAGCCTCTGTGTTCTGTTCTAAAGGATTAAGTCATCTAAGTCAATCTTACTTTAATAAGATTCCTTAGTATTTTGTTTCTTAGAGACTCAGATGTAAAAAAAATAAATAAATTGTAGAGCAAATTCATGTGTTTTATAAGATTTATCTTTAAAACTGTGTCTGTTGGGTTAAATGTTTATATTTTCTTTTGTCCTAGGCTTATTTATATTTATCTTCCACTGTGCTATGAAGGAGAATGTTCAGAAACAGTGGAGGCGGCATCTCTGCTGTGGCAGATTTCGGTTAGCAGACAACTCAGGTAAAGGGACATGTTGGTAATTGGTTTTTACATCTAGGAGTAGTAGTGAGAAATGTTTGTCATCTGTTCTTCCATTGTCAGAGCCACCCAGTCCCAATGGTAGCAAGTTGTAAAGGTGGGGTGTGTGAAGATGCTTAGTTGGAGTCTTAGAATATGAGAACTGCAGGTCTGAAGACTCTGGGCTTGACCTTCTGTTTTGCAAATGAGAAGCGTGAAATCCTGACAAGTTAAATGAGTTGCTTGAGGTTTTATGTCTAATTTAACAAGTGAGATATCCAGAGGTTCCACTATACCATACCCACCTTTCCACATTTTTGAGGTCTTCAAATACATAATTAGGCAAAGAGATTTTTCTCAATACTATTAAAAGAAAAACTGAAAAAATATTACTTTTTTTTTTTAGCCATCAGTGGTTACTTCTCACCCTTAGGATATTAAAGTAGAGAACAGAGTGAATGGTTAAAGATGTACAAATTAGTAGTTGATAGACGTTCATGGCATAGGGAATGCAGTTAGCATTAATGTAATGGCTAGATGGAGGGCCAAAAGAGAGAAGGAGCAGTTAGGGCAATTATTTTATAACCTATATAAATGTCTAACCGATGTACTATATATTTGAAACTAATAAAATTTAAAAAAATAAAGTAGAATTTTAAACAAAGTAAGAAACGTATTCTTTCTTTAGTTTATTATTATTTACATATTTAATGCTCTCGATAAGTTACCTAAATAATTCAGTGATGATTCTTCTGGGCAGAACATATTCTTTCTGAAGCAGATTCATGGAGAGATGTCATTTCTTTCAGACTGGAGTAAGACGGCTACCAATATCATCAAGAAAAGTTCTGATAATCTAGGAAAGTCATTGTCCTCAAGCTCTGTTGGTTCTAACTCAACCTACCTTACATCCAAATCTAAATCCAGCTCTACCACCTTCTTCAAAAGGAATAGCCACACAGGTGAGTCCTTCTGGCCATGTCATAAAGGTGTTCTCTGGTACAGTTCTCATCATGTTTTCATTGTGAAAATTGGCATATCGTGAAGATTGATATATCACAGAGCCCATTAAGGTACTAATTTTAAATTTATGAAAATCAAAATCTGTTGAATAACTTATCTAGCATGTTTGTGAATATTTTAGTTTTTTTTTAAATTTTACAATCAAAATTGAATCAAGATAGCCATAATTTTATAACTCTGAGTATTATTGTAACTTCATTTGATTCAAAACTTAGTTTTCTTTTAAGAAGTATAGTGTCTTTGTTTAACACATTATGTGTTTTATTTTAAAAATATAGAAATTGAGTTGCAGATTATTTTAGCATAGTATGAAAGTTACATGGCAAATTGGCATGGGAACAGGAAACAACACTGTCCAGGATGTGTATTACATTTAAGACTTAAGTCCTTAAGCATCGGAAGTGTCATCAGCAATTGTTGTTTAAAAGCACCAATTAAATATAAAAGAATAGAGAGCATCATATTTAGAAAGTGATACCGGATGATGAGAAACGCTGTATCTTTGTTGATCTCTTATGTCTTCATGATATTTACAGTGGCCGCATGTTTTAACACTGAGCACGTGTGAGAACAATCCCGAAGACAATGTGGGAAATAAAGACTATTGCAGTAGCCAGTAAATGGTGTAAAAAGGTGGAATCTTTTAATAATTTAAAGGAAAATAGAATTACTACTTTTAAGGACTAATTAAAACTCAGAAATGCATTTATCAACACTTAGCACCCCGCACTTTCCTAATTAAAGATGCTTCTAAAAGGATGATGAAAATAACTTTTTAATTTTGAATTTGTTTAGCTACTGAACATAAGCAGAGGCAAACAGCACAAATAAGATTCATCTTTGGCTTTTTGCAAATAAGGGAGTGTGTTGTGCGATGTGTAAAGTCTCACGCTGCAAACACTTAAATTTCAAATGACCCTTACGTACATTTGAATTCTTGCAGAAGTCCTTGCTTGTACCACTGTCTTTGTCCTGCCACTGGAGTGGCCACTGTCTGGGAATCAAGATAGAGCTGTGGAAAAATGTTTGAGTGTCAGACAGTTCGTTAATTCCAAAATTAATGAAATATCTGAAAACTTGAAACACCTTAAGAGTTTCTTGGAGTCAACGATATTTTGGGGAATCTAATAAAAGCAATGGACTCTCTTCCAGAATAAGATCCAGACTTTGAGTCTTTGAGTACACAAAGTTTTGCCTAAAATTAAAAGTCTGTGCATTCCTACTGGAAATACCTGTGTAAGAAAATTAGTAACAGCTATTATCTGAGGTAGTCTGAGATAGATTATTCTACCTAATTGGTAGTTTCCTGGCATAAAATAGCTTTTATTTGTAATGAGTGAATTTTTTACTTTATTTAATCAACCTTAAAGTTAGACACTCATGTTGCTTCCCCTTCTAAAATGTAAATGGTTAATTATAAGTCAGTTGCGAAGAAATAGGAATTAGACCAATTGAATTTTTTTCCTCTTAACACAGCTGAGGCTAGCCGAAGAAATGCCATTATTAAAAGGGGAGAGAAGGTAATAAGGTAGACAATTTGGAATAGGGGGCATTTTGGAAACAGTAATGAAATATTTGAAAGTATTAAGGATCATGGGGAAAACTGACTAAAAAATAAAAAGTAATCCAGAAATGGAGGTACTGAAGAAAAACTTTGCTGTTTCAAAATGTATATTTTTATTTTTTAAAGAATTCATTTACGTTTTCAGTCTCCCGTAATAAAACCTTTGGGATTAAATGGATTTTTGTCAACTAACGTAAAGATATAGTCAGTTGTATGATATTACTTCTATGATATAAGGAATTCTGGTTTTCCATCAACTGACATACAAGTGGCCTTCTGCTACATAGCCAGTACTCAGTGTGACTGCTGGTGTCAGAGTATGCAAAGAGTCACTGCATATCATTATGGATATCTAGTTGGTTTGTTTCTTGGAATTGATCTAGAAATTCATATGTTTATGGTGTAGATAATGTCTTCTAAGAGCATTCCTTCAACAAAAGTGGATCCTTCAGGTAAACTTTCATTACTTTTTGAATGCATGAATTTTTTGCAAGGTAGTAAGAGAAAATTTGCATGGATTAAACTAAGACTCTTGCTGCACCAGCAAAATTGCTTGTTCTCTACAGTACTTCTCAGCTAGCACAGTGACATCCCTGCATTGAGCTAGAATTTCTGAAATTTCAAATGATTGCTGTGCTGGCTCTTCTCTCTGCATGGGGGTGTCTGCAAGCCGCTCCTTCTAGGAAATGTACCATGCTCTGGAGATGTTAGTAGGTTATATATCAGGTAAAATAAAGAGAAAAAAAAAGCAGTATTCAAAAGGTTTGTGTTAGAAGAGAGTGAAGTGACATTCTTTACATTTCTGCTGCTCTTATGAATTACCAGATATGTCATGGTACATTCATAGAAGTCATAAAAGAGAAATGATCAGTTTTGAGCCTGCTTATTGAGGATTTTTATCTGCTTGAAATTTCAGCATAGGTCAAATAATAGTTCATTTCCCTAGCCCCTGGTTTTCAAACTTGCAACTATGATCCAAAATCTATATTGCTCATAATGTAGTGATCTAAGCAGAGGACTAGAACTAGAGCCCTTGCTCAGAATTTTACTTTAATAGATTGGGAAGACCCAGAATATTGGGCCACCTATTGAGAATGGAACTGGTCAAAATCTCTAAAAAATATATTCCCTTGGAAGTTGTCAGTGAAGCAGTATGAGTATATCCTTGAAGTTTCTTTGAGGATATATAGTTTTCTAAAACTTTCAAGCACAAATTGTTTGTTATTGAGATGTAAGTCAATAGAAAAATCCCCAACAGAAAACCAATGGCTAGTGAATATATGAACTGGAAGAAAGTACAGAATCAATCATCTTGCTGAGAGCTAAATGGGGAGGGGCCCTTATACAATGAATGCCCTGAGCCTTTTTCTCACCAGTCCTGGGACAGAATCATCCTGCCGCCACGCTTCATTCTGCCCTTCCTTCCCGTGAATCATCTATTTGCTCTTGCTTCCTTTAGTGTGGGATTTCCCATTTCAGCCTTCATTTATTTTTAGTGTCTGTTCCAAGATAACAGTCGAATAATTTGAGCAATTTCCAAAGACAACAGATATAATGATAATGGTTTTTACCAATTATTAATGGATTTTTAATGTTTTGGCACATACTGGGTCCAGCTTACTCAAAACATAAAACAGCTGGAGTGAGCTTTGCAATTTTGGAGCCACGATTCCTAGAAGCAGTTTCTTTATAATAGATATTTTGCCTCTTCCACAGTGAATAGAAAAGATACAACTGTAGGGAACTGAGTACTTTGTAGAAGGTCATATTTGCTCTTTCATCAGTGTGAAATTTCTGTGGTTAATTTTAGGGTAGACTTTTTCTCCAAAATGTGTTGAGAGAGGGAGCAGGGCTGATTGATATATATATACACCCACACACATAATGTTTTTGGTGTAAAAAATGTACTGTGCGTTATATATATGAAAAAGACAGTGTGTGTGTGTGTGTGTGTGTGTGTGTGTGTGTGTGTACATATATATGTATATATATATATATACACACACACACACACACATATATATCATACATATATCATACATATATGTATGATATACTTAAAATATATGATATTCATAGGGCACATGAAGATAGCCATTGTGTATTTGTAGATTATAGTGCTTAAGTGAATTTCAGAGCACCATCTGAACCAATTTTCAAAGTTTTTGCTTCTAGAGAAATAATATTTAAATACATGATATTGAGAAATGCACAACAAAAAGGTATTTAGCAGTCCTTTATTACAGTCAGTTGCTCTGATATTATTGCTGTCACCAATGACAGCATTCTGAAACTGTAGTACAGTTAATAAAAAAATACTTAAAATATTTTTTGATAAAGAGAATTTTGATTTCTATAATTTAAAATAATAAGAAATGTCTTTTTTTCTATACTCTAGTCATTTCACAAGGTAAAAACCGTGGGAAAATGTATTCAACATAGCCTTTTATGTTTATTTTCATTTACTTTTATTGTCTAAAATCCTTTAAAATTACATTTTATAAAATTTTTTATGAAAAATGTCAATCATATATAAAAAGTAGAGGGGATAGTATAATGAATTTCTTGTACTTCTTGACTCATAGCCACCTACACATTTTTCCCTTCCCTGTATTATTTTAAAAACATCTTAGACATATCATTTCTTCCATAAACATTTCCACATCTTTTAATTCATTTATTATATAACCTGTCCCTTCTTGTGAGCCTTTTGACACATTTTTTTTTTTTGGTGGCAATTTTTTGATTATTCTATTCATTAGCTCTTTGAAAATTACCACTTAAAAGAACATTTCTTAAAACAAACCCCAACACAGATTACTAGAAGGTAAATTAACATTCGTTTATACATAAGAATGCACTTTGAAGGTGAAAAGCATCAAGTTTTAGTGCTGCCTGTTACCTAACCTAAGAAAGGACCAGAGCTTCATTTTCTCTGTGTTCTACAATGTGCAAAATAGAATGTCCAGATGGTGGCCCTTAGGCATGTCACCAGCTCTTCTTGCAGCCTAATGTCTTGTGTCATTTCTTACAGACAATGCTTCTATGGACAAGTCCTCATCAAAACTGACCCATGCTGATGGAGAGCAAACATCAATCATTCCTGTCCATCAGGTCATCGATAAGGTCAAGGGTTACTGCAATGCTCATTCAGATAACTTCTATAAAAATATTATCATGTCGGACACCTTCAGCCATAGCACAAAGTTTTGATGTCTTTAATATAAGAAAGAGGAACCAGTTTGCAGAAATATGAAGATCTGTAAGCAGTAAAAACTGTAACTAGCAGATGTAAATGTGCTGTAACCTAGGTAACAGCATATATATATATAATGTGTTTTGTTAAGAAGGCTTCTGTGAAATTCAAAATCTGTCTTTACAGTGTATTTCTTCCTTGGGGAAGTTTCTACCATCACTAAAACTTTAGTACTGAAAGTATCATGACTCAGTAGCCATAGAAAATATGATTTTTTAAAAAAAATATATAATTGAATCAGATTAATCAGAACTCAGGAGGAGACACTGTAAATAGAGGACAAGGGAGAGGCAGAGCTAGGGACAAACCCTAATTTAGAGCTTAGTTATACCCCATCCAGTAGTTAGGTTTGGATATGGCCATTTGCTTCAGCATCTTTCCCAACAATCAGAAGCATACTAATATTTATAACTATTTTGGATGCCCACAAGACCTATCTCAATGCTAGTTTCTATGAATGAATTTCCTCATTTTCAGTGAAATGTCAATCAAAGATATAAAAAGAATGTTTAATGTCTGACCCAAGGATTAGAAAACAATTTTTTTCTTATTATACCAAATGTTTAACAGTCAAGACCATAACATGCTTAAGAACGAACGAATTTCCCACATTTTGACCTAGTTAATATGAGGCCATGTAAATTTCTACTGTTCAAAATACAAGGCTTAAACATCATCATTATAATTGAATCCCATACATTTGAATCAAATTTAGTGTTGACATTCCCTTAATGTGGATCTCCCAGCAGTCGCTGAGGAATGAATCTCTTACTCCTCTGTTTTGGCTCCTGTACTGACTGTGGGCTCACGGGAGGAATGAGAATTTCCATTAGGCTCGCAGTGCACAGTAGTCTCTCCCTTTTAGGAAATACAACCACCGAGACTCTGTGGTTCTGTGCTCGCTCTGCAGACTTTAAGATGTTTCCAGTTGCACAAATGAAAAGCCTCTTCTCCATTTAAGAGTTTGTTCAAGGAATAAAAACCGAGACTTATGGGTGACTTATCATAATCAAAATAATTTATAAACGTGGGTCTACAATTGCTAGTTTAAAAACAAGTTGTACATAAGTCCTCTGATAATACGAGCCAGAGGAAATCTGGCAAGATAGATGGTGTGTTATTTATGGATTAGATTTCTGCATACAAGCCGTGCATAATATTAAGCAGCTTACCCAGCTTTCAAACTATCCTGAGTAATACACTTGCTAGTGAATGTGTAGGAGACCACATTTTAATTGTTCTTAAAGATGGAGTTGTGTCGAGTTTCTTAGAAATCGGTCTCAGTACCCTTACATTTACTCTGGATTATCTGGGAAATATCAGGTTCTGGGAGGTGGCAGTCTAAGTGATGAGAAGATGAGACATTCTGGAGCCAAGAAAGAACTGAGCACGTGGGGGCCTTTCCCTATGTGCAGAAAGCAGGTAACACTTGGTCTGAGACATAGGAGAGCGTTCTGGCTATGCAGCCACCGAGGGGCCTCTCACCTTTTGCTGATCTTCAAACATAAGCTATTGGACAGGCTTGAATGGATGATAAGATAATGTGGTGGTGGGTTTTTTATTATTGTTCCATTTTGCAGTAGCATGGAACCCTGTCCTGGGAGACCTGAGCACTACCCAACTTGGCTCTCACAGGGGAGGAGTGTATATAGTAGGAGAGGATAGTAAATCTTAAGGTCTCTAAGATTCACTACAGTAGAGCTGAGTCCTTTTCTGTAGGCATATATTAACAGGCTGTTGATTCTGACAGAGGTTACATATAGATGAAAATTAATTTTAAATAGTCGCTGAATCTTCACATACCTTTTCCCAAACCTTAGAGATCTGTAATAGAATTTGATGAGCTTTCTACTGTGAGATTTCTACTCAAAGTGCTTACTGAGTTAATAGTAATTAAGAAACAGCTTCAAAAGTGGTTTTAATTTCTACTCATATTTATCCAGATCTAAAAATAAAAAAAATAAAAAAGACTATTTTTTTTCCATATTGGACAACAATGTCAGCTCCACTTTAGAAATTTCCAGTAACCAAGTAAGGAAAAATGTCGAAACAGACAAAGAGAAACATTTGCAAATGGACTTAAATGATTAAGCCAAATTCTACCCTCAGTTCTAAACATACAATTCTCACCTTCATTTAGCCACCTTGAGAACAAAATTAAAGGAATTTAGCTGTGGAGCCAAAATTAAGGTTAGCTTAACTTTGAGAATAATATCAATTTAGACTCTCTTTTGTTTTTTGTTTTTTTCCTTCTTTTTCCCACATTGTTTTAGAGTCTTAATCTAGGATCCTGAAATATTTTCCGTTCTCGTTACCATTACTTGTACTGTAAAGCTTTTCTTTGTCCACTGTTAGCATGGACTCTTTTGTACATATTTATTTATTTGTGTTTATAAATGTCAGCTTATTTTATATCTTAGTTTTGTATCACCTGGCTTCGTTATTTTAATTAACTTTCTGTTGGACAGACTGTATATATGTTTTTCTAAATACTTTGTGAAATAGTTTTCTGTAGCAATATCTTTGAATATGATGAATAAAAGTGACTGTGAGTGCAAATTAGAATTAGTAGTAAGAAGCTACTATAGCTGATTTGCCATTTTACTTAAATAGAAAATGTTTTTCAAATAAATACTTAATGTTATTTGTGTTCCAAATTATTTAATTTCTTTATGAGTAAGTGTTTTTATTTCTGACTCTTAAATAGGAAAAGATTATTTGACAACTGGAAAATAACCTTCCACCAGTGAAGCTAGTGACATGGAGTACTTTGCCAAAACATTAAGAATGAATATGTTACAAAGATCCAGTTTACTGGAGATTTATGCATTTCGAAGTTCTTAGATTTTCTTAAGATGACTGATGTGATGCCAAGCTCTGTGGCAGATTAAAAGTAATGTAGGTTTCTTTTGGGGGAAGTTTTCGGCCTCCCAAAAAGGGAACTGAATCAGTAATATTATGTAGAAGTTAGGTCCCGGGATGTTTTCTCACATTTATAGTTGCTATTTTTATTGTGGGAGGCTTAGAAAATGACAGGATTTAGCCAACTTAACTTGTGTGATTAGAAAAGAACCTCCCCACTTCCTTTTGCTGTGGTTATTTAGGATAATTCTTTTCTTCAGAGAGCCAAGGCATAATTTGGCTCATAGCTCTACTCAGGACTAAGCTGTGAGGCGTGTTGGCTGGTCAGTGCTAAACCAGGTCTTCTGAGCCAACGTTTACAACTCCTGGCCAGGCCATGTTAAGAAAACAGGCAAGCAGTTGCTTAAGATTCATCTACAAGCAAGTTACTTCAGAAAGCTTGGAGTAAATGGGAAACACTTATTTCATTTGCAGGCTGACTTGTGTTTGTAGTATTTTGAAATCTGAAGAATTTAGGCTTTATAAATACAGTGTTTTGGAAATACTTTTGTGCTTCCAATTGAATTGCCTTTTACTTTCCTCATATAATAGAATTATCTCTCCCCTTTCTCTTCTTCGCTCCTTCCCTCTGTTTTTATTTCAAGGAAGAATATTTAAAGTAAGTCTTCTTTTTCTGTTTCTCTAGAGGGAAATAAGAATAGATGTGAAATAGTCAAATGTTTGCATTTATATCCTGTAGCCTGCCCAAAACAAGGGGGCGGAGGGTGGCGGTGGGGGTTGTGACTTATTTTATTACCACAGTCAGCTTCAGCCTAAACTAAGTAATTTGGACCTGATTGGGGCGAGGGGAGGAATCAAATCTATAAACATGTTTGGGTGCCAGATACTTCTTTGCTATCTCTTGTAATTTTTACCATAATTCTATGGGGGCAGGGGTGTTGCTATTCCAGTCTTCCATTTTGGGAAACTGGTGATTAAAGATAGAAACCTGCCTCTGACCACAGAGAAAGAAGAGGAAGATTCAGACCCAAGTCCATCAGACTCCGTGTTCACCTTTCTATGTCAGAGGACCTAGTGGCCCCCTCAGAGAACCTGCGTCCTTGTGAAGGAAGGTGAGCCGAGGATGGGATCAGCGTCACCAGATCCCAATAAATTCTTCCAGAACTCAGACAAAAGCTCTGAAATAGTGGAACATTGGTGAGAATTTGGTCTTTGAAGTTTGATAGATGCTGATAGGCCTCCCCTGGGAGTAAGCAAAGTCATTCCAAGCCTGGAGGTTGGAAAGTCCCGGGCGGTGAGTGGAACATAATTGAGGTTAGCTTGATGGTAGGGCGTGTGGGAGAAGCCGAGACTAAGCCACAGTGTAAGAGCTGAGTGTCTGGCTGGGGGAGTTTTACCTATCAGCAGGCACAAGGGAGGCATGCAGGCTCTGTGCAGTGAAGGAACAAAATCCTGGTTGGAAGGTGACTAGAAGGATAATTAGAAGGCAGAGCGACTGGGTTCAGGTAGAGGAGTGAGGAGACCTTTGGAGAAGTTGACAGAACAGCAAGCAATTTGGAGAACTATGTCTGGGGAATCACAGGTCTCAAAAAAGTGATGATACTGCCACAAGGCTTTCAAAGCAGCAGCAAGCCCACCTTTTGGTAGGTGCTAGCTCCCTGTCCTACCTTTGAACAAAAACTTCTCTGTCAAGGAATGGAGTGAAAGGAGGCAGAAGATCAGGTAGGCTAGTTGTTTCAAGGAGTATAGACAAAGGAAAGGTGTCTTATGAAGTTTTTTTTTTATTATTTGTTCTAAGAATGGAATACAATACTTTAAGGTGAAAAAAAGGCAACCGAAGAGAGTGGTTGGTGTATGTAGCAGGGACCTGAGAGGGAGAGGGAGAGGGAGAGGATGACAAGAACCACAGGTAGAGATGGTCCTGGCAAAGAGGCTTAGCCTCCTTCTGAGGTTGAAAATCAGATTATTAGATGAGACGAAGAGAGACAAAGGAACAGATAGTGAGGAAAGCTTGTTCAGTTTCCTGATTTTTAACAGCTAAAATAATCAAAGGCTCATTTTACATTCTGGGTGTTATAAGGGAAATGGTATCAGGATAGGGATCTGAGTAAAATTAAAAAGATTTGAAACAACCTTACAAAGAATGCAAATCCTTGGCTAAATTAAACAAATTGTTATTTGCCGTTAGAATAGCTTTTACAGGTATATTCCCCAAATCATGTCATTAAAATATTTTTATTTGGTGTGTTTTGAAAAACTAGTTTACTCCAAGGTTATAGCCAAACACTTAATATTCTAGAGTCTCCAAACTTATCGAACAGGGATTTATTTTAAACACTTGAGAATAATTGGATGATGAGTCATTCCAGACATATTTCAAAATCTTTTGAATCTTTTAAATTAGTTGTGGTTGACTTATTTTCATTCTAAATTAATTAAAATGTTCTTTTAAAATAAATTTGAGATGTCAATGAGAATAAAGTATTTGAGGTGCACATTAGATATGTTGCAATATTAATACTTATAGTGCCAGTTACACTGTGTGAGAAAATAAGGAAATAAAGAGTTTATGTACTCTGGGAGCAAAAGAAAGATCTCTAGAGCACTACAGTATTTTCCTGTTTCATTGTCCTAAAACTCAATCAAGCAATGGTATTAAGCGACTACAGCCATGTGCTAATTTATATGGGGGGCGGGGGGCATGGATGGGGAGAGTTGCAGAACAATTCACAGAAACTTCCTACCAGGAATTCACTGTCCAGAAAAACTGATAAGATCTGACACCTTTGAAACTATTTTAACTCAAGGAATAACTGATTATCTGCAAAAATCTGAAGTGTAGTCATTACTGCCAAATTAGAGCTAATGCATTGTCTCTCGTAACACTTAACAGCAATAAATCTTAAGTACCAACAATGTCTATAGCCCTTAAACTTGACATTTTATATTGTTACTGTTTTTTCTTAATTTCATACGTGCATGGCTTTTCTACTGAACGATGTTAATATGGAGGCCCGATTATGTTTATGCTCATCATTTGCATAGGCACTATCATACTTCTAGCTACATAAGAGGTGTTCAGTTAATGTTTATGAAATTAAATTGAAATGTATATGTAATTTACATGGTCCATTGATATATATATTGAGAAATTATATCTCTAAGTGCCTTGGATTTTGGTAGGTTTGCAAGAACATGGGCTAGAAATAAAAAGCAAAGGGGAAAAAAACAGTAATACCATTATGCTATTCAAGACCCTTTCCCCTAAGTGCTGTATGTCACCTTATGTGATTCAGGCAAGTGGGATAAAAACAAAAAGACATGAGTTTGATATTAACTCTAATCCATTTTAATGGTATCAGAAAAGGAACTAGATTCAACTCAAGTCTGAAATGAATAAGTACATAAACCTGTTTTTGAGCAGTTATCTTCGGAACTATTTTATGGCTCAGATTAGCTGCAATATTAGAGAATTTAACACCACAGCATGGAGGGTCCTCATGGAGCCCAACAGCCATGTGTGCAACCAGATTTGGGGGAACCTGGGACCAAGGTATGATGGTCTTAACATCAAGCAGTTATTTGTTTGTGATGCTCTAGTTGTTTGTTTGTTTGTTTTTAAGACTTCATTTTTTAAGAGAATTTTAGTTTCACAGAAAAATTGAAGGAAGAAGTTTGCCAAATATCCATTTTCTACTCTCACACATTCACAGCCTCCTCTATTCTCATCCTCCGTCAGAGTGGTATGTTTATAACAAACGATGAACCTACATTGACACATCATCATCATCCAAAGTCCATAGTTTACCTTAGAGTTCATTTTTAATATGGTAAATCCTGCAGGACGAAAGTGTAATGGTATCTATCCATCTATCACTGCCCGAAAAATCCTGTGTGCTCTGCCTACTTATCCTTCCCTCCCTACAACCCCTGGCAACCCCTGACTTCTTACTGTCTTCATAGTTTACCCTTTTCCAGAATGTCACATAGTTGGAATCACAGTATAAAGTTTTTTCAGATTGGCTTCTTTCACTTAGTAATATTCTTTTAAGATTCCTCCATGTCTTTTCGTGGCTTGATAGCTCATTTCTTTTTTAGTGCTGAGTAATAATCCATTGTCTGAATGGGCCACAGTTTATTCATTCACCTACTGAGACCATCTTGGTTGCTTTCAAGTTCCGGCAGTTATGAATAAAACTACTATAAACATTCGTGTGTAGGTATTTGGGTGGATGTAAGTTTTCAACTCCTTTGGGTAAATACCACGGGAACATGATGGCTGGATCGTATTGTTAGAGTATGTTTAGTTTTGTAAGAAACCACCAGACTGTACTCCTAAGTAGTGATGCTATAGTGTTTTATCATAGCTTGTTTCTCCGTATCTGTAGCAGACTCACTTCCTCTCTAAGGTCTTTATTTTCTGTGTCCTCATAGCTTTGTTTTGCATGAAGTCCAAAGTTACCGTAGTGCCAGTTCTGGCCTCAACCCTAAACATGAACTTACAACTCCAGTTCTCAATACCATATAACCATAGTTTCAATAACTCTTTGTTTAAATTTTGTTTGTGATGCTCTAGATAAACTTGGCAAGTGCCCCTGATAAACTTGGCAAGGGCGTACACCTTGTCAAGGAACACTAGGTATGACTATGGCTGCACATGCTCACCCATCAACAGATGCCGTGGAGGGAGAACGGGCAAACTTGCTAATTCAGAGAGGATTCTTAGAATATGTTCAGTTGAAACGAATGGCAAATAAATAAATAAATTAAATAAATAAATAAATAAATAAGTGATTTG